ATTTACTACAAAGCTCATATGATTGTTGGAAAACTTTCGGTAAAACGATTTTTTTTATATACTTTAACATTCATAGTTTGTTTATATAATAATTTCATTTTCTAATGAATCATTCATTGTCTAATGTAGGTTTCGGATATAGAAAGGCATCGAAAGAGATTTGAATCGAATTGCGTTGTTACGAAGTTGAAGGATAGTAACAACTCGGCTATTATTGCTTCAGGTTTGTTTGTTTTTGAATCTTTCAAAATTATTTATCTCCAAATTAAACGATGTCAAATTTTGGATTAACTAAATTGAGTTTGTGTTGTGGTGTTAAATTATAGTGACGGCTGCTGCATTTGCTGGAGTGGCTGCTTACTGTGCTTACTCTGCGAGGAAGAACACTTAGATCACTTTGATGAGCAAGAACCGATTTATTGATGTTATAATGTAGTCATATATATGTGTATGTCATTGATGAAAATGGTTGAAGTGATATATATAGAATAATTACCAAGTAAGCATACGATTTCTCAACTTTATATATGTAACAAGCTTCAAGGATTAAGATGAAATGAAACCGAAGTTAAAGAATAATCACTATGTCCGGGTCTTCGTGGCCCAATGGTAAGGTCGGGCTCTGGTTGCAAACACAATCCAGGTTCGAACCCTGCTAGAAGGAACTACCTCACGAATTTCCGGACACCCACATGGGTATGGGTCCTTGTTTTCGACCCATTTGAAAACCCGGATAGGGGCTTACCCATGGGTTGCCCTTTCCCCAGGGGATTAGTCTGGGTCTATGTGGGCCTGAGATTTACCCCTGAGTTATTAAAAAAAAAAAAAAGAATAATCACTATATGGCTAAGTTTTCCTTTTTGCAAAGTATGCACGTATTTAAATACCCATAAGATCTTAACTAGGCCTAAAGACTTTGTAAGACCCAAAAATGAAATATTAATTTTCAAGTCCGAGTTTTAAACGGTAAAATCGTTTTTTTTTTTGTCGTCAAAAGTAAAATCGTATATTAAAAAGATTAATATAAGAAAAATTCTTTAAAATTCCAAATATATCTTCAGTCAGTACTTTAGAAAACAATAACTTAAGGTATAATTGTAACAAACAAACTTATAATTTGGTATTTTTGGAATTATTTTTAATAGAAATCATGCAAATATCCATCAAAGCATTAATATTGTTCCAATAAATGTCAATTTTCTAATGAATGTAAATTGTTATTCAATCAAAATCTCTTGTACAGTACATCATGTGTCCTCGGTTTTAAAAAGAAAGCTGAAACAAAATTTAGATCATTGTCCCTTTTGTTAAACTCCAGAGTGATGTGATTCTTACGTAATTGGCAGAAAACGATTTTTGTCGAGCTCACAAAGGCATCAACACACTTCTTTCAACTACACAAGATGTCTAGTCTAGGATTACAAACTACTAAAAACACTAAGTATTCATTATCAAGTTGATGTATTAAAAAATACTTTCTTAAGAACTTCAATCATATTAAATTGATTTACTAAAACATTATTGTTATCACGATCATTTTTTTTGT